ACTTTCTCCCTAAGTGATCTCATTCTTTACCATGGCTTTAAATACCATCTTTGTGTAGATAACTTCCAAGTTTTCAGGTCCAACCCGAACTTTTGCTTCATCTCCTAACTAGTGTGTACAACTACCTACTTGACTTTTCTATTTAGATATTTCATAAGCTTCTCAGACTTAACATATCCAAAATGAAACTCTTGGATCTCCCCCCAAACTTGTTAGTTTGTTCTGTTATTATATGGTAATATTCTGCCTTTTCAGTCCCTAATTCTCAGTCCATTTGCAAGCCTGGCATTTATACCTGCTAACTATAACTTGCATCTGTCCACCCCTCTCCATCTCCACTCTCCCCACATGAGTTAAGCCACCATCCAGTCTCACCTGGACTACTGCAGTACTTTACTGATTATGTTCCCTCTTTCCAGTCTTGGCTTTTTCCAAACTGTTCTCCACATAACAGATCAAAATTTTAAAACTATAAACCAAATTCCCTTGATTAGAACTTTCCACTTCTTAAAAGAATTCTGATTCTTTGTCATGCCCTATGAGATTCTCTGCATGATTGGATGCTTGCTTTATCTAGCAACTTCTTATCATGCCACTTCCCTCTTTATCTCCGGTGCTTTAGCCATGCAGGTAATCCCCGACTTATGATGGGGTTCCATTCCAAGGGCTCCCTCGTAAATTGGTTCTTATGTTAAGTTGAATACCTCTTTTTTTAGTTTTCATTATTATTGCCTTTTATTATCAGTAATCTTTATAAATCTGATCTTTGTCTTTGGGGGTTAGAAACATTACATATAAACATCTGAGAATGATAACATCACCAAATTACACAGTGCAACACTGTATGTAGACATATTAACTAACGATAAGATATATTAAAAAAAAAAAGGCGGTCGTAATGCAGTTCATCATAACTCAAATATGTCGTAAGTTGGGGATTACCTCTACTGATTTCCCTTAGTTTCTACAACATGCCTAGCCTTTTCCAGCCCCAGAATTCTTACACAGCTCTTTGTTCTGTCTTCCTGAGACACCCCGTCCCCTGCTCCTTGAATGGCTGCTCTGTCACATCCTTTAGGTCAGTATTGTCGCCATCTCAGAGAAGCTGTCTCCGACCGCGTTATCTCAATAGGTCCTCTCCTTCTCATCCACTTTCTGCTTTGCTCCTTCTTTTTTTCCATAATAACACTATTATAAACTGTATATTCTGCAGTATACTTGTTTATTATTCCTCCCCAACTAGACAGTAAGCTCTAGGAGGGCAGGGACCACATGGTCCCTCTTTATGCAGTACTTTTGACAGTGCCCAGTGTAGTAGCTCAGTTTATCAAATGAATGACTAAAAGTGAGGCTGACATGTAAAATTCCATTTCTCACTGGAAACCTGTAATGAAACTATTCATCCACATGATTCATGTCTCTAAAATTCATTTATACACTGGACCTGTAAACAGCTTCAAGATTAAGCAAAATGCTGCTGGAGGAGACTTGAGTGGCTGGAAGGCATTTGAAAGGTGGCATGAAAGTTGAATTCGGTGATTTGAAAAGTCATTGCTTTTTCCCTTTGTTTTCTGTATTCGTGTAGGCATGGGAAGCCCATCTAACGGTAGTTTTGGCTCTAGTCTTATGGGTTTATTTCTGGAGATACTCAGATTTGATTTCTGTTGCTTAATGTGTAGTCCCATTTGATAAGACCACTGTCTGAATTCCTCACATACCAGAGTTCCTTAAACTTGAGTTGAAGGCTTCCTTGGGAGAATTTTCATGGTGTTTAACACAGTGTGGCAGAGTGCAGAGGACTTTTGACCAGAAATTGGTTCTAGATTTTTATTCTCCCCCTGATTACTTTTGGAAAAATAAAAATACGACGCCTCATTTTCACCAGCTGTAAATGAAGAGAATTGAATGAGATGGTTTCTAAGGTTCTTCCCAGCTTTAATCATCATGAAATCTCTGACTCCTGTAAAGAAGTCATGGGTGCTGATACTGGAGGTAAACACAAAAACTGCAACTGTTAAGGAAGCAGACGTTCTCCCCAAAGTTGCTTTTGTGGAGAAACAGTGAACACTTCCATAGACCACCTCAGCAAGTAGAGAGGAAATGATAAATTCCTTAGAGACTCAGAAACCTTCAAGCTAACCTATCTTTGACTACCCTTTACCTGACTTTTTTTTAGTTTATTGGAAATTATCCAAGGAAAAAATTACTTTAGAATTTAATGGTTTTAAAAGGGCTTTTGATGATTTGTACTTCACCCTACCAGGAATGAAAAGGTGAATCAATTGAGATTAATAAGTGCCTCATTGTAAGCTATGGCACTCCAAAAAGACTCTTTTTCACTTTAATGCAAGCTTGAGTGGCTTGCTTGGTCAGCCAGAAGATTACCCCTTCCAAAAAGAGGCAACAGACAAGAGAGAAAGAAAGGCATCCTTGCTTCCTCCCCTCATAAGTATTAGAAAGCTGAGTCAGTCAGGAAGACTCTAAGCAAATTCATGATTTTAGTTTGAAATTTAGTTTTCACATCCCTTTTATTAATCGTTCCTACTATGGGCCGGCCTTTATACTAAATGCTTATCTCACTTATTTCCAAAACATTCTTTGGGATGGATGGTAGTATACCCATTGTTATTCCAGATGAAGAAACTTAAGTGTTCAGAACTTAAGTCACTTGCTAAATTAAGGCCCAGCTTGCAAGTGATTGAGTTGGAATTTGAGTTAAGCAAATGAGTAATGAAACCTTTTTTTGAGCCTATGATATAACTAAAAGCATTTTCAGCGTTTTTAATGGTAGTTGAAAGATAATGGCAAATTAATGACACCCAGTTCACAAACCAAGTTGTGTTCATTCTGTGTCCTTTTTCTAGAGATCGTGGGTGTTTTCTTTTCATCCAGTCTAATCAATACCCTTCCCTTTTAGGATGCTACTTAGAGAGTATTCATTTTAAATATTCTAGAAGTGATATCAAACCCTGAGTTAAAATAATTAACAGCCAGATTCTGTATGATCACATAGTAGTGATTCACAAAAGCATGACTTAGAATCATCCTGACCTGTTGCTTTAAATATTTTAATAACACAGGTTCCCCCTTCCCCAGTGAGGCCCACTTTTCTCTCCAGTCACTTTAATTAAGTGAACTAGAATCCTGTTTCTCACACATCTTCAGTTCTCAACCTTGTTAAAATTAATCATATAATCCCCCTTTAAAACAGGATTAAATCACCATCGTAACACAGTATCCAAGCTTTATAGATAAAACATAACAGCCATAAGAAGGTAGCGTTTGGTGTCCCCTTGACAGCTCTGTAACTTTTATAGAAATGTGTTCCTTCTTCTGGCTTGTGTAAGGTGGAGGGATAGCATTACTTACACCTGTTTTATTACCACGTTGCTTTTAAATTGCCACCTTGTTTTCTTCACCTTCCTAGTTAAATAAGGAGAGTGGAACACTTTTCTTTCTGGATTACTTTCTTATTCTCTCTAACCATGCTCCAGAGGAAGGAATTGTTTCCTTAAATATAACCAGACAGGGTCCATTGACCTTTGTACTGGGATACCTTGAAAGTCCCTTTTAATTTTAATTTTCATATGCGGTTTATATAAGGGAGTTTTAGAAAGGAAGGCTACCCTGTATTTGGAAATTTAATTCATATCATGTTCAAAGACTAATAAAAATTCTGCCTTTGCAAAAGGCCCGTTGAACCATGATTTTTCATTTTCAGTGATAATTTATAAAATAAATTCTATGTGAGGGCATTGATTTGGATTATCAATTCGAGTATTTTTTACAAAATATAGTTTGATTGTCTTAGAGTTGATGCGAGCCTTTGAGTAATTCAATCTCAAATTCTATAATATTATGTTAGTACAAATTTATGTACTAGACTTTGAGATGTTTAAGTTCTTAAAAAGGAATCCACGCTAACTAGTAAACTGATTTTTAAAAACTGGATTTTTACACATTTTATAACTTTTTAAAGAGATAGTGTCTAGATCATTCTGATTGGTAATATGCTTTTTATTTTTTAAACATGTTTCTACTCTATGTTAGGGGTTTTTTGTATGGTTTATTTTTCCATTGATGCAATAATTTTTAACTTTTTTTCTTTAATGTCTTTCTTTAAAATTGTGCTTCCATTTCTTAGAGAGCACCTTGAATTGCCTGACAACTTGTTATTTCTGTCCTCTGAAATATAAAATTATGAAAGATAAAGAAATTTAGGAAAATAATTACTAACCTTGCCCTCTTTTCTTTCCAGTTTGAATTCCCAGTTCCTCCACTTAGCAGCTCTGTGACTTTGATTTAATTACCTAACTGTTCTGTCCCTTCGTCTCCTCTTCTGTGAAATGGGAACACCGTCTAAATTCCTGGGTTGTTGTGGGGGTAGATGAGATAGTATATGTCAAATGTCTAGCTTTGTGGCTGGCATATAGTAGCTATTTAAGTTCTGCTTTGTAGTTACCAATACTTTCTGAACTAGAGGAGTAATTAGGTGAGTATCATTAACAGCAAGCTCATAGAGTAGGCTTTTGGAGTCAGATAGGCCTAGGCTTAAAGTACAGCTTTTTGCCACTTTCCAGCTGGGACCTTAGGCAATACCTCTGTGGGACTATTTCCTCTTCTATAAAATGAGGTTAATAGAATGCACCTTTTAAGATGGATGAGATTGATTAACAGAGCTGCCCCAGTGCCTGAACTCAATAAGTGGAAGGTACAATAGCTCCGATGACTGAGTTCTGAGGTAGTCACTACAGTGGGCTGCTCTCTCTCTCTGTCTCTCTCTCTCTCTTTTTTTTTTTTTTACTAGCTCACTGTCTATGCTTTTTTTTTTTTTTACTAGCTCACTGTCTGTTCCCTTGAAATGTGTAAATTTTAAGTTTATTTATGAAGAGTTCCACTGAGAAAGGAAATGTTACAGGTTCAACGACTTGTCGTGATTAGATACTTTATCAAGAAACTTACTGCACATTCATTTTCCCTTTGTTCTGTCTCTGCTGCAGTCTCACAGTTAGCCAAGTTGGCCAGAACTTTACGTTTGTGCTCACTGACATTGACAGCAAACAGAGATTCGGGTTCTGCCGCTTATCTTCAGGAGCGAAGAGCTGCTTCTGTATCTTAAGGTAAGGGAGAGTGGCTTTTGGCTATTGGCTAGTTCTGTGAGACAATGTCAGCTTTGGCGTTGTTCTTCCATAATTAAATTTTCCAGCTGTTCTTTTTATTTTCATATCTGTTTCCCACAAGTCACTGCACTTGGGGAGAAGGACTTCAAAATGTTGTTCCTGCACTTTAAGTTCTGCAGATAATTGTATTTATTTATTTGTATCACATCCCTTGGGTGGGAAAGGGATCATTGCTTCTGTATAGTATGTGGAGGCTGGAGAGAGCATGGCTTCAGTTCCTCCTGCTGTTATCTGGAGCTGTCAGAAATTAGCCTGTTAGGCTTTCACTTGGACATTTTGTGTATGTAAGATTATTAATAAAGTATGTGTCTCTAGCTAAGGACGTCTTGCAGATACTGATTGTGTCCTCCTCAAAGTAACACCCTTGCCCTCTTTGAGTCAATGAGTGAGTAACTGTTTCCTAACTTGGCTACCTCTGAAGAGGTTTGAAAAAAGTACGGAATCCTGTAAGAAGACTTCGTTAGGTCTTCTAAAATCCCCTTCATACACCAGAGCCACACTTGCTTAATGCTCTGTTTCCTCCTACCAAAGGGGTAAGGTGTGTTCTGGGGTGGAAGGATGTGTGGAAATCCGATTTTGGAACTGCTGGCTCTGTGGGCTCCTGCTGGGAGCCTCCTGAGGGGGAAGTAAAGGCATCCCACTTGCTCTCCTCTCCATCTGCCTTGGTTAAGTAGGTGTCACAGGGGCCTGCCTCCTGTCTCTGTCTGCTCATGTGGAGCAGTCCAGGGCAGGGCAGCAGGGAGGTGCCCCTGACAGAATCCGGGTCCCCAGGCTTGGGCTTGGGCCCGGGGTTAAAAGACCAGACCTTTACTGAACTCCACAAAAGGATAGTTCTCTGGTGTACTAGTCTCTGCACTTTCTTCTTCTCCTCACCAAGAAAAGACCCACCTTCCCTATCCTCATTCCCCAAACACGCACACCCTCACAACACAGGGGTAAGAGGTGCTGACTGTCTGAGGTTGTTTTGCTCAGTAACTGTCAGTCCGGACTGCTACACTTTTGTGCTTCCCTACACAAATCTTATTATTATTGTTTCTAATCAGTGAAGTCAACTGTCTTCCATACCAAGCATAGCATTTGTAATTTGGGCACTAGACACGACTGCTGAAAAGACCTTAGGAAGGAGGTACAACCTGACTGCTTTGTGAGATTAAAGTGTGTACAGCTGTTCTCAAGCATATCCCAGTAGCCCAGGTCTAAGGATGTAAACAATTATCTTTCGACTTAACAGTGTTGGTTCTTTTTTTTTTTTAAAGAAAAATTTCTTTTCCATTTTTGTCTAAAGTTACATTTTAGCTTTGGTCAGGATCTACATGTTTATATATTCGTTTGGAAGCAGTGAAAGCTTAAATTGAGTTCTTTAAGCTTTGCAGAAAGGTTTTATCCCCCATAACATTTTGGGTTACAATCCTTTTTATGCTGGATTGTGAATGTGTATGTGGTTCATGGGAAACTCTCAACTGCAGTGGAAAAGTTTATTTAAAAATTAAAATTTAGAGGGACTTCCAGGCAACATGGTGCTATAGTCAGAAGCACCATGCCGTCCCTCCACAGCAAAGATCAGAAAAACTAAGTCAGACAGTCACACATCAATCCTGAAACCCTAAGCATCAAATGAAGAGATAAAGAACTCAGCCAAGCAGCGAATGGAATAAGAAACTGACCGAGAACAGGGAGCCAGGAGAGATACATGCAGAGGTCCCCTATCAGCTACCGCAGCACGGATCCGCCATCTTGGACTCCTATCGGAGATCAGCGAACAGGGGGTATAAGAAAGCAGCTTCACGGAGCTTCCAGCAGGAGACAGAACAACC